TGCCTCCCTGGGGGCAGCCGGTGCCAGGCGGGGGTCTCGGGCACGGCCCCCCAGGCTCTCTAGCAGGGGGCCCCTGAGGCCGCTGACCTTGCCGTCCTCAGGGCCTCCCCGCAGTAGCCGCTGGCGCAGGGCCTGCAGCCTCTGGGCGTACTCACCCTCACCCAGGCCTCCCCGGGCCAGGCGGGTGGCACCCGGGCTGGGGCTCCGGCGCTGCGGAAGCTCCACAGATGCCGCCTTGTGCAGGCCCCGGCCCGGTTCCCGCGGCCCGGCCCGGGGTAGGGCGCTCTCAGCTGAGCTGCCCCTACGGAGCTCTCCCCGCCTGGAACAGGGCCCAGCTGGGAGCTCCTGGCCTGGGGAGGAGAGGGCCTGAGCGCTGGGGGTTTCCTGGTCCTGAGAGGAAGCCCTTCCCTGCTCCTGCCAGTCCATGGGGGTGGCAGACCCAGCCTCTGGGGTCCCCAGGGCCTCCTCCTCAGTGGGAATGTCAGTGAGGGAAACCCGAGAGCCCGAGAACTCGGGCTGTAGAGGCCGGGGCACTAAGGGCAGCTCTTCCAGCTCCTCCTCCTCTGAGTCAGAGGAGGAGGAGAGCTCTCCACTGGGGAGTGGTCTTCTGGGCATGGCCACCCACACCCGCTCCGGGGGTGCCCGCAGCAGCTCCGGGATGGGGCGCAGCACCAGGTGGCACTTGTAGCTGATCTGGGAACGCTGAAGACGGTACCAGAGTCAGACCTGAGGGGCCCCCAGGATCAGCCCACCCAGGTCCACCTCAGCCCTAGGGAGGCAGGCAGAGAGTCAGGGGCCAGGAAGGAAACTGGGAATTGAGAAAATAAAAAAGTGGAAAGATAGAGAGCAGGAGGTGAGGGCAACTGATGGAACAAAGAGTTAGAGAAGGAGAAGGTGGGACAAGCAGAGGTAGGGCCTGAGCCCAACTCACCTGCCACCTCCGCCGGGAGAGGAACAGCTTCAGGTGATCCGTGCTCACCTCCGCTCCCTTTGCCTGTGTCTGCAAACCCAGGAAAGAAGGCCTGAGGGCCTGCTCTCTGTCATCCCAGGCCCTCCGGGATTGACAGTAGAGACAAGGTCCACAGAGGGCGCAGTGGACTGAGTCTGGGTTCCTTAGGGTCTGTCAGGACAATGCCCACAGCCAAGGTGTACACCCGTGCACGAATTCCCCGAGCCTAAGCGGAGAGGCACAAACTGGCGGCTCCCACGGCAGGCCTGCGAAGCTTACAGTGGGGCTCAAGGCCCCAACCTGGCACGCCAGCTGCTTTGGCCTTAGGGCTGTGGCTCCCCAGCTCACATCAGCTTCTGGGTAGGGCCTCGTCTAGACATCTGGAGCTTTGGTGGGCCAGCAACAGAGGTCCTTCACTCCACCACAGCCCAGGCTCTTTCTCCTGGAGCTCATTTGAGAGAAGAGGGTCTAGCTTCAAGAATGACCTCAGCCTCCAGCTGGCCCACCACACTCAGTGGCAGTTTACTCAGGTGCTCTTTCTAGACCCCCCTCTCCACCCTACCGGGCAAAGTGCCCCAAGGTGCTGGGGTTGGAAGACATGAGTGTGAACCTGCCATGCAGGGCTCCTAACTGACAGGCTGTTGGCCAGGCCACCCACCAACCACAGGGCAGTGGAACCAGGGCAGGCCCAAGGTGGGCAAGTGGAAGTGAGGAAGACCCCAGGGAAACCCCCTGGGATGGGAGGTCCAAACCTATTTCTTGGACCGTATCTTAATCACTGACTTTAGCCTGAGTTTCCTTATCAACAAAGTGGGAGTGATAAGACCTTCCTTTCAGAGCTACAGTGAGGCTGAAATCCTATACAAAATCCTATCATGGTTACTGCACATAGTAGGTATTCAGAAAATGGAGTGCTGGCAATGTTCTCTCTTCCCCCACCTCTTGCACCACCACTTTGCAGGACTAGACTCACTTTGAACCAAGGATGTTCCAGGGTCTCCTCTGCAGTAGGTCTCCTATAAAGGAATGAAGATTAAGAAGGGATTTTTCATTCATTCATTCATTCATTCTCTCACTTGTTCATTTAGTCAATACATGCTTGAGAAGGTGAGGTCTCTAAGGAGTTGAGGGGCTGCATGTCTAAGGACTGAGGCTTGGCAGGAGAAGGCAGGAGGTGGGAGGAGGACTCTGCAGAATGGGGGCTCCTTGGGGCCTCATACTCACTGCTGGTCCCGCACCAGCACTTTGATGAGGAAGCCCCGGGCCTCCCTACTCAGGCTCAGGAACGTGGTCTCCTCGAAGGCCACGTTGTAGTTGCGGATGTTCATCAATGTCGTGCGGTCGTTTTCCCCAACAAACGGTGAGATTCCCGTCAGACTGCAGGAGTGGAGAGGGCTGGAGTGAGAGGCAGCCAGGGCCCTGGGGCTAAGGCAGAGACAGTGGGGTGCCTGTGGGAGCACAGGACTAGGGCCAGGTAGAAGCCCCAGGGTTGTGGGGATGGCGAGCAAGAAGCCAAGACCTTCTGCCTCTCACCTGGCCTGGCCTCACCACAGCCCCTGGATGGGCAGGGAGGCAGTGCTGCCTTGAGATCTGGGTGTCCATGCTTCAGAGGACCTGTTCTGCCCCTCCTGCAGTGTGGCGGCCCTCTCTGTGAGGTGAGGAGTCTCTGCCACCCTTAGCCCTGCCCCCTTCTAGTCTATGTTTTGAGCACCAGGACCAGAGAACTTCCTGGCCTAATATGCACTGTGCCTGCACTGGCCTCTCTCCATCCAGTGGGCCCCCCAGTGGAGGTGGCAGTGGGAGACAGAGCTCGGACATGCAGAGCAGGGGGTCCGTTCATGCAGTGTGGGAAGGCGGCAAGGAGTAGGTGGTGTACAGAGAAGCTGCGCTGCAGGCCCTGCAAATGTCAGGGGGTGGCCTGCCAGGAGACCAATGGGCGAGTGCAGGGGGCTCTTACCAGAGGAAGGCGACAACACCCACAGGCCTGGAGGGAAAGATGGACGGGTTAGAGGGGCTCTTAGTGAGCAGTCCCGATACCACCACTCCGAGCGTGATGTGTCCTCCCTGGGAACTGCCATGGACAGATGGGCACAGGGCGCTGCCTGCAGGGAATGCCCGGAACCCAGAGGTCAGACATGCCTGGAGAAGCCAAGGTCATGGCAGGGCTGGCCCAGGAAGGCCGGAGACGTCTGGGACCAAAGGGACCAAGCCTGCCTCACTGAGGGAGGCAGGGCAGTTGCAAAGGTGGTGGCTTAGTCCCCAGGGGAGACAAGGAGCCAAGGACCTACAGGGTTAAGGGCCTGAGTGATCAGGTCAGCCCTGACTGATGAGGGGCAAGGAGGAACCTCCCAGGCAAGGGACCCTGTGAGCAATGCCATCAGCCGATGTCAGAGAAGGAGTCAGGCTTAGCTCAGCTCCTCTCTGCAAACAAATGAGCTGAGCACAGAGCCAAGGGCAGTGCCCAGCCTGCCCAGTACCCAGCTTGCCAGTTACCAGATGTCAGTGACTCCAGACACGGGGCTCTGGTTGACGATCTCGGGTGCCACGAACTCCGGTGTGCCATACTGGCAGTACTGGGGCTCTCCTGGAGTCAGCTCCTGGGCGTTCCCGAAGTCACAGAGCCGCACCTGCTCTTCGCCCTCGGCACCGTCCCACACCAGCAGGTTCTCCGGCTGAGAGACACAAGGCAAAGTGTGGGTTCCGAATGAAGAGGGGAGGACACCCCACTTCCTGACTCCCACAGGGGCGGCTTGCTTGCCACCCCCCCACCTCACCTTGACATCCAGGTGGAGCACACGGCTCTGGTGCAGGTAGCAGATTCCCTCCAGCACCTGCCGCATATAGGTCCGGATCTGTGGGAACAGGGCACCCAGAGTCCATGGGGGAAGGGTGGGACACTGCACACCACCAAGGCTGTGGCAAGAGAAGCCTGGGGAGTGACCTTCACGTGGTTTATGGAAGGGGGGAATGCACATTAGGGGCTGCTCACATCCGGGCTACCACGCACAGCTGCGCAGGCTGGGCACAGCACGATGACAGAAAGGGGCCATCTATATCAGAACAAATAGGATTGTGCAGTACACAACCTCAACAGTCCTATATGGCAGAGTCTAGGTGGGGCGCCTTCTGGAAGACAGGTTTGGGGGTACGTATGTGAGGGAGACGACTGGGACACAGCAGAGCCAGGGGCTGGTGGGCCAGCTGAGATTTCGAAGACGGTGCAAGTCCTAAACAGAGAGGGGTCTGGTCCCATGGGGAGGGACCTCTGCTAACATCACCCTCCACCTCTTGACTTCCTGGTTGGTACAGATGGCATGCCCAAGACCCACCCATCAGCACTCAAAGCTCCAGTGGGTGAAGGCTGGTGCCCAACCTGGCCCCTGCCACCCACTGCCCTCACCTCAGACTCACACACGGTGGGCTTCCGGGCCATCCGCTCCAGCAGCTCCTCTGTACAGCTACATCCAGGTCAAGGAGAACAGCAGCAGGGCTGACTGCCCGGCCCACCCCCGAGCTCAGGGCAGGCCCCAGCTCAGCACACCTGGTAACAGTCAGGGGTCATGTCTTCACCCTGCCCTTGGCATCTCACTTGCTGTGGAATCTCAGGCAAGTCACTTAACCTCTCTGAGTCTCCATCCCTCAGGTGTAAAAAGGCGATAACATGGAGCCAGCAGGTGGTGTGGTAGTTAAGGCACTGGACTCTCACATGGTTGGCCACGGTTCGAGTCCAGGACTGGGTGACTTGCTTTCTTATTCCTCCCCACCCCACCCCCACCCCATCTCTCTGGTGAGTGCATGTCCTATAGTAAATTAAAATGAAAAAGAAAATAATTATTTAAAAAAGGAGATAATATCTGCTATCCCTCCTACCACATGAGTGTTTTATTTAAATAATTATTTTATTTAACTATATTATTTTCTAGTTTGATCAGAGAGAGAGAGAGAGACAGAGAGGGAAAGTGAGAAAGCAAGGCACCAGGTCCAGGACTTGAACCGCGGTTGGCCATGTGGGAGTCCGCTGGCCCTACCACATGAGTATATGCAGAGATGAAATTAGAGCAGGATATTGTTGACTGTAGGTAGAAACTCTTAACTCTATTTGAGAATGACCCAGAAGGTCCATGAGGTGGGTAATGGTCAGTTTGTTGGGGTTTGGATCAAATGTTGCAGAATGGGAGGCTGGTGTGTAGGACATGGTCACCCTGCTGGTGGGGGAGTTGTGGCAGGCCACCCACCTCGGTGTGCCTTCGTTTGGTCATAGCTTTCATGAAAGGATAAAGTCTGCCTTTTATAAAAACAGCCTTCCAAATAAAGTCAAGTTTTTTTTTTTTTTTTTTTTTTTTTTTTTTTTTTTTGGGGGTGTTTTTTTTGTAGTGGGCTT